GGTGTAGTATGAGGTGTAGTAGTAAGTCAGTGTGGGATGTCGGACAGTACTAATTAGCTTGCTATGATTTTTGTTTATCTTCTAAGAAAATATGAGTAAACATGGTTCGTTTCCCGTAGAACATGTATCTACCTGACTAGACAATTTCTTAGTCTGATGTATTAAAGTGAAGATATCAAGAATGTATGTTTTTGTTCTTATTGAAAGAACAAAGAATTGTGCTTATAAAAGCATTCATCTCTTTTATGAGAACGGTTCTTAGCTCAGTCCCTCTTTATCAAAAAATTGAAATTCTGCTACAATTATGATACGAATTATTGACGAATTTCGAGGGCAACAAAACATTTAAAAAAATAGAAAGTTTCACGAACTATAATCAGCAAAATAATTCTTAAATGTCATGTTATTTCAGTCAAATGTTTGAAGACATTGTTCTTAATCGTATAAATTTCACTCTGCAAGCAATCAGCGGACGGACGTTATTATTCTGTGGCTTGTCATTGGAGATGTGTAATGGAATTTTCAGAAAACTCGTAGCTGTACAGTTTCTTGTATAAATAATATACTTGAAATTCTGCCGCCTATCATTGAAATAAAGCAACACTTTATAGTGATAAAGGATAGTAAGTAGCGTCAGTAATTTTTAATTTCAATTTTTTCAGTCAATTTGATCATTATTTTAAGCATATAAATTATAATAATTTTATCACAATTCACTGACTCCACATCACTTTTTGCAGATCAAAAGTTATATACCTCTCTTATATTCTTTCAAAAAAGATTTTCCACAAATTCCAATTCAAATGTCCATCCATCTCCACGACATGTTAATTATAACATTTTAAATAATAATACAGTTATGTTGATAATGCAATTCAGTATCTTATAACAATGTATGGTAAGCTGAATATTTTGTTTTGTATTCTACTCTCGCTGGTCGATGCTTTTTATCTAAAAAATGGACAAGAAGGACTACTTAAATTGGAAGCAGATGACCCGTGTATGTTTATTTATTATCTAAAAAAAAGCACTATTTTTGCACAAATTTTGAATTTTCTATTGTTAAGTCTATCTTTCCAGTGACCTTCTTAATCCTTTTCAACTGAAACTATGAATTTTCAGTAGGTCGCAAATGCCGTGACTGTGTAATAAATATCAACTGCGATGGACAAGAGTGCAATGTAGGAACTACAACTCCACTTTCTATGACTGAACCGACACGACTTTATTGGTCTGAGCAGCAACAACCTCAGCAACAACCTCAGCAACAACCGCACCAACAACCGCACCAACAACCGCAGCAGCAGTGTTGTCCGGTTGTTGACACTTGTCAATGTCAGTACAAAGTGTAGATGGAAGCAAAACGCAGTCACTATATTTTATTGACAAAATCGCATTGGAATGCGGAAGTTCATTTTATCACCACAAAAAAAATGCATTTCGTATGTAGAATTCACGATAAATATAAATCTTTTCTGTTGCGTTGTGTAATTTTGAAAAGAAATCTGAGAAAAATTAACTGATTTGTGCAGTGATGATTCTGAATTAAGCAAAATGAATAAAGATACTTATCGAGAAATGCACATTAATTATTATTAAACGGACAGCGAATTACGATTTGGTAGCAGCCCTGCGCATTAGTAAGAGGGGCGTTTTACAGAAAGTTCTGCAAAAATAGAACTTCTGATAGGTAGAGTCAGAGATTTTGATCAAGCAACACATTGCAAACGCCAAGTATTAAGTAACTCATAACATGAATCCACAAAGTCTACTAAACAACCAGTCGATAATAAGATGTCATTAGATAATTATCAACTATTTATTACCGTATCAGTACATTTTCAAACATCTGAGTAGTTCCGAACGTGCAATATTATGTCATCAGTTCAAATTCATTATCTTATTTACAAATAAAAAAGATACGAAAATTACTATTGCTTGTTAAGTGTCATTTGCTTTATCATAAAATATTCGGTCCAGTACCGACCTACACAATTCATTACTGCTAGTTGATATGATCTAATTTATTATCAAGAAAATCTGGAATGGAACTACAATTAGTTCCTATAACATTTACTTAGCTGTGCCTTTTTATTACTGTAAAGCATCATTTTCTAACACTGCAAGTGAAATTATACACAACACACATACTCTGCAGAGGTCATCGATAAGTAAGGACAATTCATAAATATTCAACCCCAAATATGCTGTTTATTCTGTTTAAGCGATACAAACGTATAGAAACTGATTATTACACAGACAAGTAATATTTCTTGTGTTTGCTAGGGTCAAAGATGAAAAGGGCATTGAATAAATTACATTATAAGACACAAATGGCAGTGTGAGTTTTCTGAATCACAGCGCAATGCAGTAAATCAAAATTCGGTGCTTTCCCACCCGTAATCAGCTATTTTAAATTGGCCTTAATTTTCCGTAAATCTCACGCACTTCACATTGCGCACATCCCGCTGTAAGCTCATGAAACACATGCATGCCACGTACGATATTGAAGAAAATGCAGGCCGGCGTCTGCAAATACCATAGGTTAACTACCACTCACATTTTGTCATGATATGTTCATGCATAAGTGTGTTAATTGAATTACTCACAATGGATTTGATTCAATTTTAATTAAATGCCGAAGTTCTGTATATCTGATTAAAAAAAATAAAATTGACTGCATTTCTGTACAAAACGTGTGTTTTACTTCCATTAAATGCTACAAAAACTATCAAGAAAAGTTGAGGAAAAATATTTTACAGGCAAGATGTTGTGGAAGTTCATGTTAAAAACACCCTGCTGCTCAAGACAACTCGATGTTTGGATTCAGGGTAGGAATGAGATTGTTTCCATACATATGTTGATTTTTGGCAAAGTTTAATTTTATCGTTAGTTGGGTTTAAATAATGTAAAGGCACTAATTTGATTCATTGTAACTTAGAAGTGAACAAGTGTGTTATTTGTACTCCTTTGAACTACTTCAAGGATATCGCTGTGTTCACAGTTTTGATCGTCAGCGACGTTTAGAGTTATTCCGAAATGAACAGTACAGACAAGTTATGGCTTATGAACAAAGTGTTACAAAGGTTAATTTTATATAATGACTTGTGACCATAAGGGTATCAATGTTTGATTTATATATATAATCTTGCCATGTGCACTAATTAATTTAATGGGAAGTATTGTAGGTTATCTTCAAAACTGTTATAGATTATAAGAACATTTATAATTGTAACTAATGGTTTTTATTATTTTGCCTTTATAAAAGTATCCTTGGCATATAGTGTAACCAATACACGTCTACAATAATGTTTAGTTAAAATTACCTGCAAAAATTTGACATTATAAAAGTGGTCATTGTAAAAAAACATAAGTGTGAAATTTGTTTCATCTGTTACTGTGAATGTGATTTTTTGTTCTGAATTGATTTAGTTCTTTGGAACCAACTAATTATATTTAGTTATAAATAACTGCTTAAGGTGTTTTGGACAATTGAAGAACAAACAAGAAGTGATACTACGAAAGTATTGATGAATCACAACATTTCAACTTATCGGGATTGTATCAAACGTGAGTTCGATTAATTACTAAGTTATTGCTTGTGAAGTTTTTTTTTTTTTTGTGCATATTTATTTAAATTTCCAATTTGTTTTTCAAAACCCGGTCGTTTTTCATTTTAATTCAATTTTTCTATTTTATTTGAAAACTAGAAATGAATGATCTCGTGATGAGATTATATTTTTGATACCGAACATAAAATTTAAGATTTCAGATCTCTCGAGATTAAAAGCTGATCGTATAGCATTGGCATATGTGAACGGCAGTTATAAATCAATGAGAGAAAAATTATTAGGTAATGGAACGATGACTCCTTTGGAATATAACTGTCAAGACAAACTTCATGCTGATGCCGTGAATAAGGCTTGTTGTCACTTGCGTTTTAAATTCTCTATTGTATGAATTAATCTTTTCAATTTTATCTATTCCAGTGAGAGTCCTGTAATTTTGTTCACTGAATTTTTTTCTCTTATTGTAGGCTTACTGGCGAACATGTTCATTTGTGTTGGGTGCTATTCTTGAAGAAGCATTTGCTACTGATGTGCAGCTTATTGGTCCTTCAAAAGTGGACTTTAAGTTTCATTTTCTTAGAATTTTATTGATTAACTTAAGTTTGATCAGTGATTGCAGTATTTGCTATGATTACTTCTTGAACTATTGATCGTATTAATTTTTAGATCAGTCTGGCCGTTTTGAGTATATAACAAGGATAGAAAATTTGGGTAATTGGATGCCAAATTCGGTGCGTCTTCACAATGATTTTATGTTTTCTTAATTGATAAAACCTTAATAACAAGATTTCTTTTGTGATGTGCGGTTTTACTTATTACTCCAGTGAAAAAGTTCCTTCTTGGAATGATGATTGTAATATTGAGGAAAGCCATTTTGACTCAGGCATCAATCTTTTTATATGTTAAAAATGTTTTTTTTGTTGCTGTATTTTCAATTGGTTAAAAATAACTAATATATATTTCTCTATTTAATTTTTATTACATTGCATCTATTATTTTATAGGGTGATTTGTTTGCTTTAACTGAAAAAGCAGTCGGCGAATTCATTAGAAAGCCATTGACAATAGAACCGTTGTTTGTATCTTTAGAATTTGCATTAGATGTGTTCGCTTCAAATGTGTAAGTTTGTTTCTTTCATTGGTAATAGAAATTAAATTTTTAATGTTTTTATGGGATGATTCGAATCGCATTTAATAAAACTATTGCTTTGCAGATGCAAGCAGGAAATGGTTCACGAAATGAAGCATCAAAATGAAAATGGGCAACTTGGAGTTGTTATTTATCAAATGAGTGATTTTGTAGACATAACATACGGACCCTTAATACCATGCACTGCTCATATTGGCAAATTTGCTATAACTAAGGTTCTTTTTGTAGTTTCATGCTAAAGTAAGATTGAAGTTTTCAAACTTTAGTAATCTTCTACTACTCTGGTGACCAAAATAATCAGTTGGATACTCAGTAATTTTGGTTTATCAAATCTCGCATTTCATTCGTGGTAATGATGAGGTGTTTTATGATAATTTTTCAACGTTTGCAGGTCGAGAATGAAAAATCTGATTACCGATTTATCGGTGTGTCGATTCCTAGAGAATTGAGGTGCTCGTCATATTCTTGGGATATAATTTGTAACGCTTCAACTGTGACTCATGGAGGGGAAGAAAGATTGCTTCATGCTTCTACCTGATAGTTTATCATTTGAAAGCATGTGAAATTTAACCGTATACTATTTTTTTCACAAGAAAGGCCTTGTCTTATTTCTAGTTTTACTGATAGTGGTATTTGTTAATATTGCATCAGTTTGCGGAATGTTTCATTAAATGGTTAGCTTATATTTCTTGACTAATTTGTATGTAATATCAAACTTATCATACTGTTGAGTTATTACAAAATCGTAAGGTAATGTAATTATGTTAGCAACATTTCCAGTAGAAATTATTCTAATTTGTAATCGTTGTTGTTTCAAAATTTTTGCGTTCCTGCACATGAATGTAAAAGCTGTGTATAATTTTATTTAACCTTGTGAAAGTACTAGATTAAGTTTTAGTTGGAATGAGTGTGATCTGCAGATTGCTTATTATAAATTGATGCGGAAAGTGTTTAAAAAAATGTTTTGATCTCAGCTGTCCGATATGACAGGTCAAATCAGATTAACAAACAATAATCGTTGAATGTTCTCATAATTTTTCAATGAATAAGGCAGTAGATCTGAACTGATGACATAATATTGCACGTTCGGAACTACTCAGATGTTTGAAAATGTACTGATACGGTAATAAATAGTTGATAATTATCTAATGACATCTTATTATCGACTGGTTGTTTAGTAGACTTTGTGGATTCATGTTATGAGTTACTTAATACTTGGCGTTTGCAATGTGTTGCTTGATCAAAATCTCTGACTCTACCTATCAGAAGTTCTATTTTTGCAGAACTTTCTATAAAACGATTTTTAAAATGTACATTTTCAGAGAAATGATGCATGCGCAGGACTGCTACCAAATCGTTATTTACTGTGCGTTTATTAGTAATTAATGTACTTTTCTCTCTTTACTCGATATAATTATTTAAGTTTATTCATTTTGCTTAAATAAAAATCATTACAGCACAAATAAGTAATTTTCAGGTTCCAAAATTTACACAACGCAAAAGGAAGTATATGTAAAAATCGTAAATTCTTCATACGAAATGTCTATTTTTGTGGCGATACAATACACCATTACATTTTACTACATATGTGATGGTTGTGTCATTTTTTAACTCATACCTTTACTTGTATTGACTATCCACGTAGACATCATTTACTTTTGCCGAAAAGTTACAATTGGTGGGGCTGCTGGTTGAAATGGTGCTCTGAAGTTTAGTGGCATATTTTGTTCTGGTGGTGCATGGGGAAAAGGTGGTGCATTTTGGAATAGTTGCATATTTTCAATCTGAGGTGGGTTTTGAAATATTGGTGGATTATGGAATATGGTCTGAGGTTTGTGGCCTTGTCCTTGTATGGGCAGTGGATAGTTTTCTGTTGGTATCGCAATAATTTTCTCAATTGGCCTGATCTGTGCATGATCCCCAAGTTGCGGCGTGTAATACTGACTTGGTAGGTCCGTTTTTCCTTGTTGGCCTTGATCCGTGTTGCATTTACCGTTTTTACAATTTATATTTACTATACAAGCACGGCATTTTTTGCTGTTTACTGAAATTTTTTATATTACTCTAGTAATTGAATGCAATTGAAGATTATTATTAGTGGTTACATTATTATAGGTAAAATTATAATATTAGTGAGATGAAGTAATAAAAACTGAAGAATACCATTTTCTGGTTCAGATGGATAAGAAGCACTGATGACAGAACTGATAATGCACAGCAAAATGGAGAGCCGTTGCGTATGCATTGCTGAGAGACTGCACATTGCTTTCTGAAATTTGAACAGTGAAACTATTGAGAATTGTGAAGAAGAGAGCATTTTTGAACAATTGTCAGTGCAGACATCTTTTCATGTACTGAAAAGCTGACATTCAAAAGTTTCTACAAAATTGGTTTCCGAGCAAAGTTCATGCAATCTTAAAAGTCATCATTGCATTTACGCATACAATTTTGCTGCATATTTGGAATCACAACAATTTGATTATTTTATTAAAGTTTGATTACTGAGCATTAAATATGGATTACAAGCAGCATCAAAGATTAGTATTTATAAATGTTAATACTCGAACTTGGTAGGCCTTGGAATCAAGAACTTGTCTTCTTTCTACCATCGAAGACTTTCTAGAAACTTGAAGGAAATCGACTTTAACTTATATTTATTTTTTTCCGTACTAGTTTATGACTAAAAGTTGCTATGCTGCCATGTATACTGTAGAACACAATTTTCATATTGCAGAGAATACTAATCATTAATGGTATGAATATTATTTTTATCAAAATGAATAATAAAATCAAAACTTTCTGGTGAAGTCAGTTTCATTCAATTTTAATCAAATTTCGTGTACTTGTCAAGCAGTAATTTATACTTTTCTCATAATTCTCACAGCTTAAAAAGATTCAGAATTTATCATTCCATAAAAAGACTTATTATCAGTATGATGTGCAGTTGGTAGTGTAATTAAGTACTTGATTAGCTTTTCTACGCTTCTTAAAGCAGTTATGATTTTCGAACTGTCAAATTAGTCTGCTTCATTCCTCTTTTCAATTTTCGAATGCTTTTTTGGCCTGGTATTTTAAGATTCTGATTCGAAGTGTATTTTCGTCTCCTGCTGTCTTATATAATATTCAATTTCTGTTAATTCCATCTTGTCAAATTAATTGTTTCCTTCGTGCTTGCTTACTTTAAATAATTCTCTCAACTGTTAATTGCATCATAAGTATTCAGTTGTTCGGTAATTAGATTACAGTTCTGAAGCTATCATGTACATAATATCAAAATGATTCATTTAGCATTCATTTCTAACAATTATACCATAATGTGCAAAAGTCAGACATTTACTTAATCATATTTAATAATTTAGCATATTCGTAAATGAGACCAAAACAGCTAATTAAGATAGCTTTAATTTTCGACTACTTTACTTTCCTTCTGTCACTGAATTCGGTCAAAACGCTTGCTAATTATGTTTGTTAATATTTTTCCTTGCTTAAATAACAAAATAATTTAAATTTTATCTCCTTGAATTGCAAACTCTTTCAAGCAGTCATTAAGCTATATACTTTTATTTTCTTGCCCAAAATTCAGAAATATTTCTTAGCTTCTGAAACTGTTCTGGCAGTACTGTTTGTGGATATTACTACAAAAGATGTGTATCAAACAAGGAAAGCAAACAAAATGCATCAAATTGGACTAAAGACAATACAATGGTTTTAAATAAAAATTAATTGAATATTGTGATCAAAAAACTATTTAAGCATGAATAAATACATTTCAAAGATGTGGAATATTGATATCAAGAGGTAACAATTCAAGACTGAAATGGGAGATTTTATGGTGCCAAATAATGTTATTCAAAAAGTCACTGGTTTGCCGATTTTTTCACAAGCAATACTTCAATTCAATAAAATCGGAATCAGAATTTCCATTTAACAATAAATATTACACGCTGTTAATAGAAGTAGCAATTAAGGACAATTGTTAATTGTTTGTTCAATTTGAGGATAACTCTTTTATGCAGATATTTGCATAAAAGAGTTATAGCTAGCAAGTAAAAGTTACGCGCATTAACTAATTAAATATCCTGAAAATACCCAAAATAATACACAAGCAAACAGCACAAAGTTGAGGTCGACTTGATGAACTATGTCTGAGGTCGCGAACAATTAAATCCAAATCGCTTTCTCCTATTTTTGAAACAATAATACTTCGCAAATTTCGCCATCTGTAAATATGCTTTATGTAAAAATTTATATTCTGTCTTAGTATTGTAATTAAAAGAATAAAATGTGAAGAAGGAAAAAATTTTTTACTTTGTAAATCACTCAATTAAATATAATTATTGTAAAAGTAGTCAAAACTAATCACAAAATCTACTTTGTAAGCGAAGTTTCTAAGCTAATCGTTGTTGGATTTTTCAACTTTCTACCTCGACAATCATCGTTTGTTACTGTGACGTCTACTCGCCATCCTCTGTAAAAACACTCTATAAATATTTTACCTTCATTCCTTAATGAATTAATTAATTAGTTAATTAGGTTAATAAGTATTTAAGTTAAAAACCTGAATTTTTTCATTAATTACTCAAATTAAAAAGTCGGACTTACTTATCGAGTAGTTCAACATCATAGCAGCAACAATTTCCAGTACTCTGCACTCGTCCAGCTGCTTTCATATTATAATAACTACGCTGTTTCTCACGGTTTTCAATTGATAAACGTCCATTGTAACCAATGAATACCTTCAAATAACAGTTACTATTGTCAATTTAAATCAAAAAAATCAAACTTACCGATTGTGCAAAATTATTGATAATGCTTCATTTCTTATAAGATTTTAATCTCTGATAAAAATGCAATTTTCAATTTCACTACTTTAATCTTGAAAGAACCATAAATGAACGACTTAAAATTATGTAAAAAGTTTTCACGCAATAATATTGAAACACGTAAATCAAAAATAAACGAATAGTAATTATTATGACAAAGTAGAACTTGACACAACTTTGTTTTGACGTGTCAAAAATTGTATTACAGTACTGAATTAAATGAGAATAAATCAAATCTTAACATTACCTTTATACCAGTGTTAATTTCAGGCGATTGCAAATCAGTTACCTTTTCCAGTAAGTAAATCACAAAACCACTATCTTTGAGCCATTCATCCTTCATATATCGCTTTTTCTTCACAAATATTAACTAAAATTGAATATTATCTTTTTTTAAGCGCACCATTCTGTTGTATTTGATCGAACAATGAAAGTAATGCAGTTGATATTACTTAAAAACTTAACTAATTAAAATAATTCAATTAAAATTGTCAAAATGGTTAATAAGTTAGTTAAGTTATTAGCAAAAACATATTATTCATACGACATGTCATTATTTACTTGGTAGTTCAATTTATTCAAATATATTGAACAAAATTATTATATTACTAAAATTATCAAGTTTTAATAAGATAAATTCTTCTAAATCAATTATTCATTTCTTAGTAGCACATGAAATTCAAATCAAATTCCAAATTTTAAACTTTAATTACTGCAAATTTTAAAATTTTCTACCAGTAAATACAAATATTAATCTTTTTTATATGCAAATTTGAAATTAAAATTAAAAAATTGTCAACCTTAGCAGTAAGTCTTTGAATGTCAGGAAATACCGGAGCTTGAAACAACGATATAAGAAATGCAGTTGGCCAATTCAAAAATGCAATGCCTTCATCACTGACTACTGCTCCAGAAGACTGCATCCATACCGATGGAAATTCAATTAGATTCCACCGATTCCGATTGAATTCTGGCACGCTCTAAAATACTCTTTTAATTTGAAAATCTTGTCATTTATGCTTTACAATATTAATAGAAAAGTTAGTTATCTGATATTACAGTTATGCTAAAACAGTACAAATTTGAAACATTTACCAAAATATTTGATTAGGTATTTTTGCAATAAAAATGCAATGAAAGAAATTACAAAACAGTGAAATATTAACTGTAATGATATAGTAAGGCAGTAATTTGAGAATAGTTGTGTGTTTGGTGTGCAGATCAAATACCAAACGTTTGGAGTAAGGACCTGATCGGAGTGCGATTATTTCAGACCAATCATTTATTAAATCCGTCTCATCACTCCAAATTAATACAGAAATTGTTGAACGAACACCTAATAGAAATGTTATTTGCTCTGCAGAATATACTGCCTAAAAGTTAAATATTCACATAATATTTGAGATTAATAATGCTTAGATTTAGTAGTAAATATACTTAATATCAGAAATTTGTTTAATTTTCTCAAAGACCGCACAAAACAAAGCGCTTACTACAAAAAAATTGCATAAAAAATTATTCGCATCAAAAAATAACGTAAAAATTACAGTGCTAAGTCGAATAGCTAACATTAGCGGCTGCTCAATGTTTTTTATTAATGCTAGCACTTGAAGTAATTCACGCCAACCAATACTGAAAATTTTATTTTGCGATGACTAAATTCAATGGAATCTGTAAATTATAGCAGTTATCACTTCTGCTTTTGAGTAAACTTTTTGAAATCTAAAATAAGCATTGTTTGATAGAGCTTTAGATTTTTTAAAATGATACTTATTAATTAATAGAGCAAATGAAAATTTACTTAATCTGAGGGATTGTCAACTCTGAAAGGTTACTTTTAGTCCACCCAATTGATAATGTTGCATCTGGAAAATACTTTTTAGCACCATCAACCAATTCACTTGCTTCTACTGGCACCTTCAAAGTAACTACCTTTTAATCACATTTATTATTAAATAGTCAATTAATTTTGAAAAATTTTTGTTTTAAAAATTATCTTTTCAAATGATAAAAGGATTCAAATTTTGACAATAATCTAATTGCTTATATAATTTTAATAATGTATTTTATAAGCTACCACTTTTAGATACATTAAAAAATTTTAAATATTTGAATGTTGTTGGAGAATGCAATGAGTGAATGCATCGAATATTAAAACAGATATAATCTCAAAAAATATTGAAATTTAATTTAACTGATTATTTAGTAGTGAAAAAAAGCTTATTAAGTAATTAATAAGCTTACTTTACTTGACTTATTAATTAATTTCTTAACTACTTACTGTATTTTGATGCTAGCTCATTGAAAAGCCTTTTACATTATAAAAGAATAGTAATTAAACAGAAATTAGTATACTGCAAGTATTCTCAACATGCAAAGATATCATTTATTGTGGGCTGATTACATTTGTTGTCTTGAAATACTTAAAAGCAATACTTCGTTACTTCTCGGAGATCGAAAAACATTGGCATGCAGCACAACAGGCGAAGATATTTCTTCGCTGGCAGCAAATAAATACTGTAGGACTGGCCGAACAGCTGCTGTTGATCGCACATTTATCTTAATTACTAAAAAAGGAAAATTATTCATTATTTTATTTCAAATTTCGTGCAAGTCAATTATCCGTACTCAGTGCATCTCTTCAAATTTATGATTATCCAACTGATTAATTAAATAATTCGTTAATTAATTAATTAATTTGTTTTTTCAAAATCACTTTAGATCATTATTGATTATTTACATTTGACATTGCAATTTTAAAACTTAATTATTATCGATTGATCGATTGATAAATTGATTTATTCGCTGACTATTGATTACAGATATTTAATCAATTAGATGTAGAAAAAATTTTTCGATATCAGTTAGAAGAAATCTGGCAATCAGAGGTAAATTGGATTGGGACAAATTAATTAATTGTTAACCAAAAAAGCAGTTAATTACTAGTTTTTTATAGGCATCAATTATGGTAATACAATGCAGCAAGCATGTCAACTGAAGAAAATTATTGCTTTAATAGCAAAAATTTGATTATTTCGATTCTAGTTTTGATTAATCATTTGATCATACAATCAATAAATCATTTAAGTTAGCTCCAAAAATTTCCAAAACATTTCATATCTCTATGGAATGCAAATCAAACTATCAAACTGATTTTTTAAATAAAAAATACAAAATTTTTAGGTGTGAGTGATAAATTTTATATTTTTTGATCAAAAAAATCAGTTTATATGTATTTTTTTGCTAAAAATCCATTTGTTTTAAATTTAAGAGTTAAGAAAGTCAATGTTATAATTATACATTTCGCTTTTTATCGCTTTCTTTTTTTGTAAAATAGAAAACGATTCGAAGACAAGAAGAAATTCGCAAAAGGATTGGAACGTTGAAGGAAATACGAAATTATTACAGTTTGTCAGTTTACTGCACAAAAGCAATTCTGTTGCTCAAATGCTGTAGTAATATTGCTGTACATTTGTGATATAACAACAGATAATCTGCCAAAATTCAAAAGGATAAAATTAATCTTTTAGAAACCACAAAATGTTCTCACATACAACTGTTGTCTGAATAAACAAAAATCTCAGTCAATCAAAATTCTTAATTGCAATCATAATCATAAGTTATCTTCATCAACAACTCTCTTACTACAAAATTAAAAGTTTGTTTTAAATAAACTCAAATTGATATCGTATTAATCCAATTTACATAAAGTAAAATATTTACGTGTAATACGTAAAAGTTTTCATATTTATGTGAATACACTTCCGCTTTAAAGTGTTTTGCACAGAAATTTTGCATTTATCTTAAACTTTAATATTTTTTACCAAAATTTTGCTAATGTTTTAATTTATTTTTGTAATATTTGTACTTGATAACATTAAGGTGCAAAACAATTTTGCCAGTTAATATGAGTGAATTAATTTGTATGACTTTTGCATTATTTTTAATTACGTGGGATTATTCAATCTTTTGCGTTGATTTTAAATCATGAAAAAAGTCGAAAATTTTTTTATGTAAAATCTTTTTATGCTAATTTTGTATTACACTATATGTATTGTTATAAATGATAGCGTAAATTTCACCTTTACGTAATTTTGCCACTTCTTTTAACCAATCTTTGAATGTTATTCGATCAGCCATCCTTAGCGGAGCACTCATTAACGGAATCGCTCGATTGTGATGCTTCCGTTGACGATATAAAAACACGTCGCCTTCAATCATCGTACTTCGCTCAAGTATTGGCTCTTAAAATGCCTCTTTATTTTAAATTTTATAAAAATTAAATTGTCAAATTTTTGGCAATTTGTGAATTCTTTTAGGTCAAATCACAGCAGTTTAATGTATTTCTTTTGTTTAAACTTTCAAAAATTCATTTTATTTTTTTTTGCAATTTTTTAGTTCAAAGGTCATTTCAAAATAATTTCAAATATTCACTTTTTTTACTGCTTCATTTAACACGTGATAATTAAAATTTTCATTACTTTGAAGTTTATAAATTTTTTAACAATAAAATTTTTAAAAATCATTTATGATAATTTAAAATCTTAACGTCTTATGCCATTGCTTTGTGTAATAAAAGATTGCCACTGTCTATAATATTTATTATTACGTGTTAATAAGCGATAAAAAAGTTTTTGTATAAAAAATTTAGTCATCAAACTTAGTTTTAACCAAATTCTTTCTTTTTTTTACAGTAATTTCCATTGTTCTTTACTGATCACTATCCATCTCTCTTTCTATACTTGCAACTAATACTTATTATAACCTTTAACCTAAAATACAAGGAAAAATTTGTGTGTATTACATCTTGCAAACTGCAATAAATATTTTTTCATAACATCAGAAAAATCAGAATGACAACAATTTATACGAATATGTTAATAAAATTGTAATCGTAATGTATATTTCGATGAAAGAAATGTGAAATTAATTTACGTGAAACAACAAATTTTCAAATTCATCTTCTAATGTTAGATAATAAAATTATGAGATGCTTAATAAAATATGCAAATTTACGCTACTAATCAATCAAATTTATAAGGATATTAAATGCGCCTAAAAGATATTCCAAAATTTAGCAATAATTTTTATGCTAACATATGTCTCTAAAATTCATTTTCATAAATTAGTATTAATCATTTGTGAAAAAAAAAAACGAAAATGGCAGTTACTGTAATTTGTCATTGCTATGACAATGACTTCGTGAGATAACTTAATCCATGAAATTAATTCATTACAAAATGCTAAATTGCCGTGGGAAATTCTATCAATAATAACTTTGATAGCAAAAAAGATATATTCTTTTGCTTTGTATTAGTCACATTAAGTATGCATCAATTTCACTGCTATATGTAAATTACTGCGAGTAATGAATTCAGAAGTACTCAACGCTTACTATTCTCAATCGCTTGTCAGCTATCTTCAATTACCACTCTAAGCCTAGCAAATAACAGATGCTAAGTTTAATTCAAAATATAATTGTGTTAAGTTTCAACTTTGGAAAGTTTTTTAGGCTTAATTATTTTTTTGAATAATTTTTTACAAAAGTTTGCCAAGCAGTTGTGACAAAACAGAATGCATATATTCATTTTATGAATTTTGTTTTGCATAATAAACTTAAGTGTGTGCAATTGAAAATCAATTTGTCTGTGTGCTTTTTATAAGGCAAAAATTTTTTGGTTCATTTTTGATCCTAAAATTTGAATAAAAATGAAGTAAAAAAGACTTTATAAATTATTTCGAAAAAAGTCATATATTTATGCATAAAAATTTGAAAAGACATATGAAATTTTGTCAAAAAATTTGTCAACTGACATTTACAGAAAAATATGATAATATCTCAGCAAAAGCATCTAAAATTGGTGTGCACTAACTTCACTGAATCAATTATGTTTGTTTTTGTTTTCTTCATTTTGAGCTTCAAAAGTTGAAAAAATATCTGGTGCAGTTCAAAAATAGATTCTTAACTGAAAAGTTTCTTACGAAATTTTTTAAATTTGTTTACAGTACTGTGGTGAAATGACAATAACAATAAAATTTGAATATTCAAAAGACAAGTAATTTCTACCATTTAGTTGCTGAAGAAGTGCAGGCCAACTATTGATACCATGAGCTACTTGTACTTCGCCATTTTCACTATCATTACGCCAAACTTCAACAGCCGAAACACGTGTTCTCGAAACATAGCCTTCAATTAAATTTGCATAAACAAACATAGCAAACAAAAGGTCCTTACATCTCAAATAACGAGTAAAATATTAAACTGATATGACCTTTACAAAAACGCAATGACCTGCAAATTTTAAGTTGCTTTATAAGAGATAAGAGTGGAAATTAAATTATGAGACAAGTTGATTTAAATGAAATTGCTCAAAGTTTATGCACAAAAAGTTTAAAATGATAAAGTTTGCAAAAATTTGCCAACTAATTTACTCAAAAAGTGTGATAATTTTCGTGTAAAATTATCAAAGATCAATATGCTTAATAATTTTGATAAATAATAATTATTGATTTTTAATTTAATGCAATGCCTTCAGAAATGCTTCTACGCACGCAAAAAGTTTTTCATTGTTGAAAATCGAATTTGCTATGATTACAAATTTCCTTAATAAAAGTCCGCTGAAAATATTGCTAAGTCTTTTAGAAGTCAAAAAAAAGAACAGAAATTTCTAATATTTTTGAACTTTTTCACATCTGTATCAATAAAAAGTCTCAACAATTCAAAATTAAAAATAAAAATTGTCGCAATTACAAGTTTCAAAGATTTGAATATGTCTTAATTTTAAGCCCAAATTAAAAGAAGACATTGTCATTTTTTTGAATTTTTTTGCTGCGAAAATTAAACTTTACGAAAGCTTAAAATTTGAATTTTCACTAAATATTTAACAAATTGTGCTATAACTGCAAATTTATTTTAACAGTAGAAATGGAATAAAGAAAGCAAACGCATTTTACTTCAAAATAAACAAAATGAAAATTTTTTCGTGAAAAGGTTGTTGGTTTTTTTGGTGCAACCAATCACTCTAGCAAAAATTTAATATTCTTTAGATTTTAATTGGAAAATAAATGTGAAAGTAGTAATGATAAAATACAAAAAATGAATCAGCCAATTACCACATTTTAAATCAGATCAGATCAGATCAGCTCAAATCAATTTTTTTTCTACAAAATTTATAATGTCTTTAATATGAACTATGACCTTAATAAAATCACCTCCAGTTTTTTTCCAGCAAATTTTTATATTTACGACTTTTGTCAATGTCACTTTTAAGGGATTAACTTTTTCCACTGCAAAATATTCATCATTTATTTTTTTCACTGGTAACTGTCATGGTATTAATTAAACGACATTATTCAGTAGTGTAAATGGAACAGCTTTTGCACAGTAATTTCTGAATTATGCAAATTTTGCGTTGTAAAATAGATTTACAGATCTATTGAAAGTTAAATTGTTGATTGTGAAGTGAAACCTTGTACTACTACTACATTACGCTTATGATTTATAACACTGAAGTACAAAACTGAATGTGTAGAAAACGGTATTTTTAAAAATATATTTTAAAAATGGATGAATTTCAGCACCAAAAATTAATTTCAATAGAGCAATTCAATCTAAATTAAATATTTACTAATAGTGTTATATAGGTACTAATCTATTTATTCATTCAAGAAAACCTTTTTTTTCATTAATTTAACTTTTATTAGTATTCTGCTATTTTTAAATTAATAAAAAATATTGAAATGTAAACATACCATAGCAAACATAATGATTGTACGTTACAAAATAGATGATTATGCATACAGTAAGAAGAAAATAATCTGAGGTGAGCATTACGGTTTTCAGCTGCATTTTCTTCCTTTCCATCAAATAATAATCTTTGGGCATGCAAACCCATTAGGATTCTACCAGGATATCCCGAAACTTTGCATTCAAATTGTCCACTAAGAAGATAGTAATGCTTTATTATCTTGAAGTAGCAAAAAAGTCTGAATAAATGCCTTTACCATCACAAATTACACAGGATATCTTCTGAAAAAAAGTAAAATATGTAGGTATTTAATATTTTTGTTCAAATTCAATTAGTTCAATTACAAAAGTTCAAATTAGTAGCATTCTATTTGTTAAGCATTTAGAGAATACATACATTTTTTAAAAATTAAAATATAAATTTGTAAAAATAACTGTTTTAAATAGTATAATTTCATTAGTGTTATTACTATTCACTAATTATTTTTGAATAAAAAACAATTAATAATAATTGTAATAAGTGCTTATGTGTAAAAAGAATATTAAACAGCAGTAGGTTTTGGCGTAAGAATAAAACAATCAAACTATTATAAAATAAAAATAAAGTAGAAGAAAATGAAAAAGAATAGAAAAGACAGTATAAAAACCTATGCAATATTTGAAATGAGCACTCTTTTCAAGGACCAAATCCTACCAATTATTATAAAGATCCAGCCTCTTTTATTCTTTCACTTCTGACCTCTCGTAACCTTTGTTAGGTGATTTTGACCTTGCTTGTTTAACTTATTTTTACGCAGTCAAAGGAAAAGAGTAAATCTAAAATTGTTATTTACAATATGCATTTTTTATACAAATACTTACTTACAAGAAATGAAATATTTTTTGAAGACAAAAAGAAATATTTGAAAATGAAATCGAAAGTTTTATTTTGTTTTGCTTACTAAAATATTCAAAATAGTATTTGTCTTAAGAAATGAAAGTAAAATAAGCAAATCAAATATAAATAACGACATTTTATAGATAAATTCTATAGAAAAATAAGTATAATCTTCAAGATAGAATGAATAGTTGTTTATGCTTTGTTTAGAAAATTGTTCTCTATGGAATATTTGACCCTCTCAGCTATTTATGAAAATTTGTCGAAAACTTTTCGCTTTTATTCTCAAAGCAAAATGTATTATTTTATGTGCGTATTTCCTTCTTTTATCCTCAATTATTGATTATTCTAACTTATTTATTTAGTGACTTTTTTATTTCAGCTTAATTTGCATAATTAATGTTCTAATAATTTGTGGCATCTCAGAATGATATAAAAGGTTAATAACAATTGTATGCAATACAAAATTCTTCGCAAAGCTTTCTGACTGTCAAATCTATTAGTCTCCTTAGAACTCTAAAAACGATTTTTTATACTTTATATTGCATAATTTCATATTTTATAGAAAAAACTTATTTACTTTTATTTACATTTTCATCTCGAACATTGTGCGAAACGTGAGTTCAAACTGCAAATTTGAAATCCACTAATTAATTAGAAAATATCTGAATTTCACTCACAGAATTATGCATAACTTTCAAGCGTAATTATAAACAAAGTTTTGATTATTTACAATTGGCACTGAAAGAAAAAATTTATCTTGACTTGCATTCATTTCTTGATTAAATATGCTTTTAATTCTCTTTAATCGCTAAATTTGAATTATTCAAACAAAAATGCTATAACCTTTTAAATAAATTTGCATCAATTATAAGTAACTTATAAAAATATATAAAAACTTACTAATTAGCATAATTTTGTGATACGAAAGGTCAAAGTTTACTGCACACATTTTCAGATTATTTCAAATTATTTTCACATAT